ACAAGGCTGCCATCAACATTGCAAATAACCCTGTGCAACATGACAGGACAAAACATATTGAGATTGATCGACATTTTGTTAGAGAGAGAATAGTCTCGGGAGAACTCTGCATTCCCTATACTCCATCTGAGATGCAAATTGCAGATGTATTGACTAAAGGGTTGGCTGCAGCAAAGTTCATGGACCTTCTTGGCAAGCTAAACATGATTGACATCCACGCTTAGCTTGAGGAGGAGTGTTAGGTTGAAGGTTTTCATGTATTGATGGTTCGGCTGATAAGAGTTCTTATTAGCCTGTATTTGAGTTTAAGCTGTTATGTACTGGGCCTGTGTTAATGGACCTAAGTTTGTTTAGTGTTTTAAGTTGTCTAGGTGTCCCATCACTAATCAGGGGCATTCCAGTCATTTCCTGTAACATTGTACTGTACTCTAATATAAATAATAGTACTGTCAACTGGGTCATTCAGTTCAACATTCTCAGCATCTCTTGGTCTTCTCCTCTCTTCTACTGCTTCGGCTACAGCATTTCAGCTTTCAAGTATGACACAAAAAGCAAAGATCTCCTTTAGCATGTACTTGTCAATGGAGTCAATTGATGTCTACTCCAAATAGTCCATTTCAAGAGGAAAAGCATGGCATTTGGGTTCACTTCCAAGGAAAATAATGTAGGCCTTTGTACAGAAAATCTTTGTACAAAGGACCTTTTTGGTACACATCTTTTGGCACTTGATACAATTATAGTTTACCTTTTCAAGAAAAAAGGTAAAAAGAAAAAAAAAAACATTATTTTAACAGAAAAGCATCAACTTTTTTGTCTTAACTACCAAGAATGTAAACAATGTTGCACTGGAAAATTGTAATTATTGGGTCTATCATTCTAAAAATTATTTTCTGCTATGTTACCCTGATACAGTAAGGACATTTCTGGACACAGTATCAGATAAAGTTAAACACTAAAAATGAAGTATATGAGATGGATACAGCACTGTGCCCAGGTATCATAGATTTTCTGTTCATGTCTAGTGAAAAATATAACCAAGGATATATTAGTATCCGCATCTCAACTAAAGTTAGAAGAGAATTGACCATCTGAAAAGTCTACATTATTTTTAATTTCCTAACAGAAGATAATCAATAGTTCTTAAATTTTCTGTGTATCTTCAAGTGTTACAACTGAAGTCATGCCAATACTTACTGCCTGCATTAAATCATAAATTTCAGAGTCCTTAAGATTTGCACCAACTCTTTTCAACCCAGCCTTAAGTTCTTCAAAAGTGATTTGGCCACTATTATCTGTGTCCAACATCTTGAACATTTCCTTGAGGCCAGCAATTTCATCTTCAGAAAGGCTCTCTGCGATGACCTGCAAAAAATAAAACATGATATATGGGAGCACAAGTTCCAGAGTTATTTTTGTGCTTACACAAGATATTCCTTGTATGACATTTATCCAGATATTAGGATTTCCAAGGTACAAATATTTGGCATTCTATATGCTATCAGGGTCATGAATATCAATTCTAAAGAAACTTACTCTAACAGCCATTTTCTTAAGCTTGTTCATGGCAGAAAACTGTTTCAAGCGACTAAGAACTGCAGAATCAAGAGGCTTATCAGGAGCCACACCATCAACCTGAATCCAAGGATGGCCTGCAAGGAATTAAATCAGTTCATAATTATTAGTTTATATGGATAGACCAACTTTTCATCAATGAACTAAATTAAATAGGCTAACTTGGCTTTCTTAAGAACTCCACTTTTCCTTCTCAAAAAACAGATCCATGTAAAATGAGTATAATCATCAATAAACAATATAAGATGTTTGAACCCCACTTGAGACAAGATAGGTGAAAGCACCTATATCACTATGAACAATTTCAAAAGGAGAGGAAGAACAAGCATGTTTAATAGGAAAAAGCAAAATAGTGCTCTTAAAGAACATGTAATACAAGATTTTGTTGAGGACTCAAAAGGGGGCAATTTAGTCTTCAAAAAAACCAGAATGAACAATCATAAAGTTTATCAGCATGAGGATGACCTATATGACGATGCCAAAGCAACCAAAAAGGGGATTTCAGTATAAAATTTGCACTATAGTTAGAGCGTCATGAGAAGAATGAGTGAGAATCAAAAGGTGACCCAACTATAATACCCTCATTTCAAATTCTTATTTAAGTGATTAGAATGAATAAGCCATGCCATGGAAACATGTATTTAGCAATAATAAGAGCAAAATGAACTTACACAAAACTTCATGGGCAGTCATCCGCTTCTTGGGGTCTCTAACAAGCATTCTCCTTACTAAATCTTTTGCACTTTCTGAGATACTTGGCCACGGCTCTGATGAAAAGTCAAGCTCACCACGAAGGACCTCTTCAAATATCCCTTGTTCAGTTTCTTCATTATCAGAACAAAAAGAAAAGAAGAGAGAGAAAATGAAGAAAAAGAAGTCAGTTCTGGTTTTTTAGATTATATAAGAAGTCATGCATATGAATGTGAAATTAGAATATTAGATGCAATAAAGAAATCACTGATTTCGGAATCCTCAAAATCTTACCAGCCCAAAATGGAGGGACCCCACTTAACAAAATATAAATGATCACCCCAGCACTCCAGACATCTGCCTCTGGACCATAATGCTTTGTCAGAACTTCTGGTGCAACATAGTATGGACTTCCTACCACATCACTGAAAGTTTCACCTGAAATAAGAAAGCAGTCAATTTCCAACTAACTGCTAAAAAAATGAGGAGCATCAGAACATGCAACTGAAAGAAAATCTTTGGATTCTAATGTCAGAAAGAAAAGAGTGAAAATGGGGAATTAATCCAAAAGGATTAAAATGGGTAATAGGTGATGCTTAATAAGTACTGTTCTGGGCTAATAATTGGGCAACTAATGAAATTCCTTACATCAAGCTAGTTAGCAACCTGAGAAACATTTTTTTTGGTAAGCAAAAGTGTATTTATCACCACAGACAAAGAATGGGATATCCAAAAAGCTACGGAAGCAGTGCTAAACCACATAATCCCAATTATAAAGGCTATAGTAATGCTATATCAGCAAGAAGATATGGTGGAAACTTTACTGTCAAATCTGCCACAAAATTATATAAATTTATCTTGGAAAATGAAGATTCAACAAAGGTCCTAAAGTCGATACAAAAATTTAAATGCTATTCAAAAATTGAACACTTCCTATGGCATTTATTAAGAGGTAGTCATATGGATAGAGGATTTGCTATAGAGACAACTTGCAAAATATGCAGAAAGGCATAGGACTATGTATGCCACCTATTTGTTAAATGCCAATTAGCCAAACAAGTGTAAGCAATAGCTACCACAAATTTTCACAGCCCAACTGATAATGACACATCAAAAGAGAAATTTTTTTTAAATAAAAAAAGAGAGAATTGTAAAGACATCCTAAAGAAAATTAATAGGATGCATAGAGGTGCAGAATATGAATTATGAGGAAAGATGGACCAAAAGAGGAATAAAGATGGATAAAATGGAAGCCACAACCACATGAGATGATCAAAGTCAATTTTGGTGCTTCAGTTCAAAACAACAGCAGGGCAGAAATTAAACATGTGGCAAAGGAAACAGAAGTTAAAATAGTAATCATGAGAGCTAGAACAATAGGACAAACCAGTATCAAGCTAAAGTAGTGGCCACTGGCCACAGAGGAGGCATTGCTACTAGCATGAGAGAAGCAAATCAACAATCTATGGCTAAAACAAGATTAAGGTGGTGGTGAGCAATGTTGTCAAAATCTTACGATTCACAATTTGAATCATGAATCCCAAGGGTTTCGGTTCGAATCTTATGTCTGAATCCTTTTATGCAAAAATTTTACGATTTTTGTTTGAATCCTACGATTTGATTCATAAATCTTACGATTTATACGGTTTCTACGATTCACTACAATTCAAATAAATTCAATTAAGAATTAGTTCTCTACTTTGTTATGTTTTGTTTATATATAGTTTTGTCAAGGGAGGTTTTTTTTAAGCCCTTACTAGAAAATAATTTATTTACGTTATTTAAGACTAGAAGTTGAGTTTATTTTCCACCATATGCTGGTTAAAAAGCCATTTATTATATGTGGATTTGTTTGACTTTCAAGTCAAATTTGATTATATCACCTCAGGCTTCTATTATATAAGTGGTAAATTCTATTATTTTAGGTACATATATGGTATATATAGATTAAAAATAAGGGAAAGTAACTTTCTTATATATATATTTAACCCTTTAATATATTTATATTTAATTTTTTGACAAATTTATAGAAATAGAAATAATCTTACGATTCACGATTCGATTCAACTTTCTCTACGATTTACTATACGACTACGATTTTCAAAACATTGGTGGTGAGCAACAACATGACGGGAAGCAAGAAGATCCTATACAAGATTAAAACATAATTAAATGATATGTGTAATATTGCAACCAAGCATTGAAAAAACAATCAAGGCTATGCATGCATACAGGAAGGAAACCATGGTTGGGCTTCAACCTCCGAGGAGTTTTATCACCATCCATGTGCAGATCCTTAAATCTATAAAGTTGTGGAATTCTTTGATATGTATATGTATTTTGTGAGGTATAGCTCCAGTGTGTGGGGCTGTCCCCTGAAGGCCTATCATACTATTTTCTATTTGCTCTGTTGAATAGATTTACCTTGCCTTTTTCTTAAAAAATGCTACTGTGATGGCTATAAATTCCTTTTCAATTTGAATTCTAGTATGTATTTTGTGTGTCAACTTGATGACCAATAATGTGGCGGTGTAATTCCTTTTTCTCATTTTAATAAAATTTCTTTCTTGATTCTTCAAAAAAAAATCTACTGCAAGGAGCAACAATGAACAAAGCAAAAAAGTTCATATCACCTTTATACAAGCAAGAGAACATAAAAGCATTTTGGATCCATGATACTTAAACTGTACAACCAACCAATAGTCACTGGAAGCCCATTCAATTTTGTCATGGATTAAGATGCATGAATAAATCCATTAAGCCCTCATAGAATGAGTGATTTCATTAGACCAAGATAGCAAAATGTAGACAGAGGGAGAATGATTGGGAAATAGATCTTCCAAAGAAAATAGATTTATTATAAAACAACATGAAGATCTAGATGAATATTAAGATGATAGCCGGACCTAAATAAAAAAGAACTGCCAGCTATAGTGATCATAAAAGACAAAACACCACCATTATCGTCACCATATAAGCTTTGTGCCAACTAATATGGGGTCGGCTGCATGAATCCTGTTTCACCATTTCATTCTGTTCAGTGCCATATTCATTGTTAAATTTTGATCCCTTAAATCATTCCTTATTACTTCAGTCTATGTCCCCTTTTGGTCTGCCCCTATCTCTTCTAGCTCCTTCAACTTGTAACAGGTCACTTATTCTTCCAGGTGCTGTAGATAGTCTCTGCATGTGACAAAACCATCTTAATCTACTTTCCCTCATTTTATAACCTATTGGAGGTACTCCTAGGTTCCTTAAAATCAGTTCATCTCTGACCTTGTCCTTCCTTGTTTTCCAACTCATCCATCTCAACACTTACACTTTTGTCACACTTATTTTTTGAACATATTTCTTGACTGTGTAATGCTCTACTCCATTCAACATTGCAAGCCATACAATGGCTTTATAAAAATTTCCTTTTGGCCTGAGTGGCATTCACCTATCATATAAGATTCCAGACGCACTCGAAAATTTTGCCCATCCAGCTCTAATTCTATGAGTTACATCCTCCTCGATCTCTCCATTGTTATGGATTATTAAACCAAGGTAACGGAAAAGGTTACATTTTTTTTATCAATAACAGTGAATTTTATTAATAAGATGGAAAAGCTGAATTACAAAGAATGAGCTAAAAAATCTTAACTCCCAAATACCCTATAAACTCGAATTCATGAAACAATTACAAAACAGCCCAAAACATTGAGCTCCTGTTCACTCCTTGCCTAGCTAGACCGTCTGCCAGTGCATTAGCACTTCTTTCTATCCATGTACAACGGAAATCAATATCATTGGTGAGCCACTTGAATTTCCTCTTTTCATTGCTGTATTTCCAAAGCGAAGAGTTGTCCTCTTTTAGCCAATTTACTACAATTTCTGAATCACCTTCTATGATCAATTTTTTTAAATTCATTTCCTTGGCCCTTTGAATCCCTTCAAGAGCTCCTAGGATATCAGCCCTCAAGGAATCTCCCACCCCGATTGGGCCAGAGTACATAGCTAACAGGTTCCCATTTTCATCCCATATGATTCCCCCAACTCTAGAGGGCCCTGGATTACCCATGTTGTTGCCATCAAAATTCAATTTGGTAAAACCCTAAGGTGGAGGTGTCCAACAGGAAATTGAGGTCTTCTTGATTGAGCCTAACTCCGCAATCTCCTTCCACTTTCTGGCCATCTCATCAACTCAGAATACTGCAAACAACTCCAAGGTTTTTAACCAATGAATCACCCTAATGTGGATGATTTCCAGGATTGCTTCCAAGCTTCTCTCCTTATTAGAAAATATCCTTAAGTTTCTCTCCTCCCAAATAGTCCAGCACACTGCAGATCTACCACATCTCCACATGATCTTGGCCCTTTTGGTTGACCAATTGGACATGGAAGTAAATAAGCTTTGCACACCCGAAGGGGGAGTCCACCTGCAACCAAACAGAGAAGTAAACCATTCCCAAATCACTTTAACAAACTGGCAAGAAATTAATCAGTGATATCCAGACTCACCATCAGATTTACAAAGAACACACCAGTGAGGAGACAAGCAGCAATTGGGCCTTTTTCTTTGAAGTAGATCCCCTGTATTAACTCTTTCCAGAAAGGTTACATTGAGGTATCTCTGAGTCTCTAATCCTAAGTGTTCCGTGATTAGAATTCCTACTATTATTAAATTTACATTACATATATTATGTTTTTGTCCTAGTTATTGTAAAAGCTCATGTTTCTAAGGTATTTGTTCATAAACCTAATTTTTCATTTTTTACTTGATGGTTAAATTTTGCATTTGATCCTTTGTTAAATTCATCAATTAATACTAAGTTATTGGCAAACATCAAGCACCACCAGACCTCTTTAATATGTTTAGTCAACTCATCCTTGACTAATGAAAATAAATAAGAACTAAGGTCATTTCCTACCCTTTCAGATGGTGCAACATATGTTTTTAATTTCTGTCCAAAAGATGATTCCTAAGGCTCTGTTTGATTGTGGTGCTAATTTCATTTGTACTGGTGTAAATACATGCGAGTGCAAATAGGCTGAGTGTAAATTCTGGTTTACTTTTGCTTCAGATTTGACTCTGTCTCATTTATTTGTGAAAAATAAAAATGTAAAATAGGAAGCAAAATGATGTTGCCCACACCTTATGAAAGAGAATGGAGGTAGGACCGTAGGAGGGTTATGGGTCTTGGAGTAAGGTAGGAAGTAAGACGATGTGCTCCCCACTTTATATAAGAAAGAATTGAAGTGGGAGGAAGGTGATGCAAATGTGGTATCTGTTTTTGAGATGCAAAATTTGTACTGCCAGTCAATGCAAATGAGAAACAAGTACAAATTTGTCCCAGGTAGTAGTCAAAACCATAGTTTCAAACAAATGGATGCAAAACTAAACTGGGTGCTAAATTTGCATATATTTTTGGGAAGTAAAATTTGCACTGCCAGTGAGT